TGTACCCGGAATCAATTTTTTTCGGTCATTGTCTGCGACTCTTGAGCGTAGATAAACATGGGGATGAAAATCGACCTGAATACCGACAGCTTGGTCTTCAGACTCTGCTCCGATTTAGTGACAACGGTTCTGGCTACTTCACATAGGACTCCACTAGTTATTCCAGTTCGCCCATAGCTGCCTCCCATTGTTCGTAACCAGTAAGCACGATCTCGAGGTGCATGAATTTCTCCATTAAATCCCCTGCCTGTCCGTTTTTGTATAGTGGAACGAGAAGGAAATATGGATATATTATATGAAAAATTGTAATCCAGTTATTCAACAGAGTGAGTCTTTGATCTTGAGTAATATTTCTCTCATCTGCTGGCCTGAAATGATGCTAAATGCCGTTCGACAACGGCAGCTGTGAAATCTATAAAAGTCATTTAGTTTACCCGGTTTGTGCAAAAAAACATTTTCAAATCTTCGTTGTTTTTTTTCTGGCAAAGTTCACGCAAAATTTAACCTACTGCCGAAGTTCAAAGGTGACAGCAGCGTTTTGGTTAAAAAAGTTGATTGATTTCAGAGCCAGATATGGCACGGATAAAATTTACACGGTTGAACAAAAAACGAAAAGCACACACTTGTCAAAATTAATCACATGAAACATGGGCGCGATTTGTCATCCGTAGCTGCAGGCATTTCAAACGCCAGGGCAAGTGAAGCGGTACATGTCGTAGCTAGCAAATTTAGACGATCAGCTTGGGCGGTGCACTTGAAGGTGTGTTTGTAGCTTGAAGGCAAAATCACGTGTTTTTAATGTGGTAGGTTGTAGGCCAACTGCACATAGCATCTTTTCATATATTAGGTAACTTCGACTATTAGATTTATAGATGTAGGTTATACCTAAAGCTATATCCTGGCTTTATCGTATCTGAGAATCGTTAGATCAGCAGATATGTCATCAAGCAGCTTTGTGTGCGTTCTATGCGGAATGATGATGCGACAGTCGGAAATACTTATTCCGTGAACTTTCGCGCAGCATCGCACTCAGCATAGTACTATTCGGTAAAAATATAATTGATTTAACCAAATCACACAGACAGCGCAGTCAGTAGTTGTTAAGGTAGCGCCGTTGAATCAATGAACCAAAAGTTTCTTTCACAACTTATTCCGAAGTGAAGTACTTCAGCATCAAAATAGCAACCAGAAGTTTCTCATGCGATTCGCAAATTTCATCATTAGTTATAAAATTCTTTTCTTTTCTCAAACCAATCATATGCCTTGGAATGATACAAAAACCGCTGGAGTTCTTCATTCGCCTCTACAGGGTCTATTCCTGTCCGATTGTAACTATGGCCATGCTGTTATGAGGCGTTTACCAGAGCCGCTAATAGATCTGATTATCGACCCTTTGCCAAGGAGCTTCCTTGTTCACTTCTAAAAGGTTCGATAAAATGAAATACAACATCCTTGCACGCGCCAAATCCAAACGCGCAGTCTTTCGCTAACGGCCTGGCCTTTAGACGGAAGGCAGCAATGTAGAAGTTAATGCCATTTGAATGTATGACACCAGGACCGAATTTAGTTCGAAACAGATGATCTGGTTAATTAAAGAATATTTTACGCGTTGTCTTCCCGTTTACTGATATACTAGGGCATCATTATATAGCCCATCAAAATTTAACCATCCGGTGCAAGACTAAAATTTTTCCACCGTCACCGTTTCGTTTTATAATTTACAGCGAAATCGATCAAAACACTGCAGCTATTCTTGTAAAAAAATCTCTTCAGTATCCAGTGACCCGCATGTATCAGAATACCAATTCACCTCTTAAAAGGGAAGAAAAATATCATCTTTTTTTCCATAGTCGTATTGTTTATTATTTTTCTGTGTCTGCTAGCAGAATCAAATAAATTCGTTACTATTAATAGTGCTTTTGCTCGTCAGTGTCCAGTACATGAACATGTTACACCTGCGAACCATTGCCTTTAACGTGAACCTCTAATCCTTTATGCCTTTATGCGTGCGTACTTTTCACGTAATTATTGAAAATGACGACCACCCGAAGCACATAGAAACATTTGCATTTATTTGTTGTGTGTAGTTGGGCTTCCACCATACTTGGTCAGCCATCAGGTGAATGAAGATAAATTTCGCTCCTCAAGCCATAATTCTCGCAAGCGGTAGTATGATCACTTCGCATCACCGCGCTCTCATTATTGCAGGCAGGTTTGCTCTCATAAAGTTACTAATTTTCAAATTTCCACATACCTCCTTCACCCTGCATTCTGTACCTTACTGCAGTAGTCATGCAAACGTCATGGGCACCATTCCAGGCTCGTCGTCATTCAAAGGGAATTTAACTCTACCAATCGTTTCCCGTTGTACAGGTGGTTTGCTACCTTTACATTCGAATATGCACTTCCTGATTCCTTTGTGAATTACTGTAAGTAGTGAAAAAATATTTAAATTATAAATTTCAGTTCAGTGCCTAGATGGCTGAATGTTTCGTATTATAGTAAATGACTTTTTTCATTCGTATTCAGATGGATGGTGCATTCTTTGGCGTTATTTGTTCGTCATCATTCTCTAATGGACCATCAGTATATTCCTTTACTGGGTGTGTCATGGCTTTAACAGTAAAACCTACAGTGTTGCGGTGTGCGACCGAACTTTTACTTTTAAACGAAACTGGCGCCCTCCCAGCCGGTTTATTTTACGTTCGCCTGTTAAGAGCAGTTGTTTTTTGAAGTTATTCGAAAACTGCTCTAATTTCTTTGTTTTTATGATTTAAGAGATAGAAGCTAACCGCAATTTCAGTTAAACTAGTTAGACTTGTTTGTTAGACATTGGATGTACAGTAGTACAGCGTTTTTCCGATAGTAGAGGTTATACAGTTTTTCGTTTTTAATTGCTTGTTCTGTTGCTAACTTACATGTGTTGTTGTCACCGTTTTTTGTAGTTGTGTTGTTCTGATGTTGGTCAAATGCTTATTGATTTACGTTTGCGTGTACCTTCTCCGTGTTTGATGTACTCTGAGGTACTGCCATCTGCAGCTGTGACGTTTTAAAAGTTCTTTGTTCGAAAATTTCATTCTTTCATTTTATGTGTTGTGAATGGAGTATGATGCTGGTTATTTCAATTTGGGGGGGGGGGCAGATGAAATCAAATTCAGTTAGACGCTTTCCATTCTGGCCTTGCTGTTGTTGATTTATGGTTCGGGGCAAGAATCTAAACCGTTTAATAACAGTGTTCTTAGGCGTGAAAATTTTACCAGTGTTTTATTTGGTGCCTTCAGAGGCAGCTATAATAGAAGCTATACATTTGACTGTTTACACGCGACTGTTATGAAATATCGTAGTCGTACCATGACTCGTGCTGAATAAGGCGGTAACGGATACTTTATCATCTGTGTTTAACGTCGACTGCGTGCTGTAGGAAAATGACTTGGCATTTCGTTTGTGCAGGCAGTACATTTGCTGAAGATCAGATTTGCATGTTTGCATATCAGATTTGTCACTCATCATCATTGGTGCATCAGATATCGATTTTGGATTAGTTTGATCAGTAGAACGGTTTAGATGAAAAAAACAAATCAGGGTTACACCTTGTGCTGATTATTGCACTGCACTGAACAGTCAGTCATCTGTCAGATAGGTGAAGGCGAAATGCAGCCACTCTAGGCGCTTGCATCGGACAGAACAGTCGTACATCACGTCCAATCTGGTGGCACCATTCCAGAATACCTTGATGTCTGTTTCATTAAAAAATCATAGAGTTTCTGTACGTTTCTCGGCCTGATTGCGCCGAAGCAACGTAGCGTTAATATTTTGCTTAAGGAGATTCGTCCTTAAGCCATTTGACTCGAACCTGGAGTTCCTCCGGATTCGAACCCCTCATCTCAGTAGTTCGAAGCTGACCTTGTTGTCTCTGCACCACTCTGCCCCCCTAGGAAACTTCAGGAAACTCGGACATCCGCGTTTAGGTGGTGCCGCGAATGTTTATATCGTACAGGCGAACGCTGTGATGTACCTTCAGACATCACAAGGGTTTACTTACTCCGGAGCAGCGGCCTGTTTAAATACCGGGTGTAATGACTTGAATGAGTCATTCTCAATGATAATATCAGTTTAAACAAACTTTGATTTGAAACTTGAAGGTAGCATTGCGACAGTGATACGGCAGAGATCACTTCAAAAACCGTGTCTGCATGCAAATCAGTAAAATTATTCACTGCTTTCCTTGAGAAAGGAATTTGTCACGCACTGTTTCAGACTTTGGCTGTTCTGTCGGTAGAGCATCGAAACCAGAACCGAGGGATTCCGAATTTAAGCCCCGATCTACAGCGTTCGTTCTTTCTGAGGTTACTAATTGAGTACCACTCTGTGGGAGGGAAGCAATAGACTATACACTATGCTTGCCGCACAACTGTAGATTCTGTATAACATAGATGCGGAGTTCAACACTGCACTATCAGCTTCATAAAAGACAGGCGCCAAAGTAGATTAATCACGAAAGTGAAGTACGACCGACATTCGAAGGGTGACAAGCTTACCTTTTCGTTTTCACTTGTTGTTGACAATGGTCAACGATTGTTTACTGCCTTGGAAAGCCCAGTTCAATGGTACTGAAAAATTTTCAGATTTTTTATCCTTTGATAAGTTCAGTTGCAAGAAACTTGCTGTGACAAGCGCAAACTTGGAAGTAGTAAGCTGTTAGCTATTTATTAGCTAAAATTTGTTTATTAAAACACTCAATGAACTAACGTTTGGTTGAGCTCAGCCTCAGCAGGCTAACATTACGTTGTGATAGCTAGCAGCTGACGTAAGAATTTGGTGTGAAGTGCATCTGGTTAAAGCGTGCAAGCGACAACTCTCCATCTGTGTACGCACTGTCATTTCATCAGGTGATTTCTTCTTAACCACGTATCGCAGGTGACGACGAAAAGTAGAACGGTGAGAACGAAGACAGGTCAGCTGTTTTTGACTCTGTTGAAAGTACACGCAGCGCCGGACCGAGGTTTTGACCGATGTTCATCCAGTCGCGTTATCAACCCGTCAGCATTGCACAAGATAACCGAATTTCATAACGTGAATGAAACATTTTAGATTGTCAGCATTCAAGATACAGTAGGACAAGCATTGAAATGATTATGCAATATTTCGTTCGAATCACTTTGGTTGGCTTCGTTATTATCTGAATATCATCTCGTGATGCTGTATCTTGTTGTTATTTTTCTTCATGCTATCTTCTGCGCGGTCTATCGACTCATTTTTCCTTGGCTTCTATTTTTCTGTTCAAGATTTCCAAATTACGAGCAAAATTTGTATACACTTTTTGCCTTGCACAAGAAATTTAACTTCAAAACTTATGACGAGCACAATATTATAAAAATGTCTGCTACTTCCTCATTTACACATCACAGTTCCAGATTTGTACAGTCTCCTTACTTCTACTGGTTTCAGAAGTATCTAAGCAAGTTACTACTTAATGGTGTTTAGCACCTGCAGTGCATCGTTTGGCAGAACCAAAGAAAAACCTCTTCGGAAACCTGCATTCTCTTTAGGCTTATTTATGCAGAAAAATAAATATGGATTTTTGGATTTATTAGTAAAACAGTAATATGTTATGTTGATATCCAATGCAGCCAGTTTATGGATAGCTGCTCATCGACAGGTAAACTGGCCATTTAGCGGAACTGTTAAGTAAGTTACCACATAGTACTATTGTTGACTTGCCTTAAGCGTCAGATTTGTCTGTTGACTAAATTTGACCTGCAACGTCGGCGGCTGTTACTAGCCTTTACCTATTACCACTTCCAAAATCCTTCACATAACTTAATGCTGACCTGACGAAAGCTGTTGGCTTTTATTTAATTGTTAATCGTTTATTACCATTTATACGTCGTTGTAGCAGTTGCGACGTTCGCAACTATCATAATCGACTTATTAATTTTAGGTTACGTTCACCAAACGAAAGTTCGGGCTGATGAAGAAGGCGTACGAGCTCTCGGTGTTGTGCGACTGTGAAATCGGCCTGATCATCTTTAACTCGAGCAACAAACTGTTTCAGTACGCCAGCACTAACATGGACGCAGTGTTGTTGAAGTACACCGAGTACAACGAGCCTCACGAAAGTCGGACAAACACCGATATCGTCGAGGTACGTGTGGTATGCATCGATTAGTGCAAGTGAAGTTCCCATAAGAAAGTTTTGCATTTCAGTACCTTCTCTTGTCGCAGCAGCCAACACCGCCTACATCATTCTGACATATCAAACCTTGAATCATCATTTCCATTAATTATCATACTTAGTTTTTGACTC